TCAAAACTTTGACAATTAAAAAAATATATATTTAAAACATTTATTTTTGGAAACAAATAATAACAATTTAAAAGATTTACGGCTTAAATCTTGAATAATACAATTTTTATTATATATATATATATATATATATATATATATATATATATATATATATATATATATATATATATATATATATATATCCTTATATCATAGTCGAAAAAGACTTTTAATGTAAAAAAAAAGTCTCTTTTGACTACAATTTTGCTACCTCAACAATTAAGCTACATTTCATTGTCGTTGAAATGTCAAAGCAATTAAATTAATGCAGAAGTACATTAAATTTTATTGTTTTTTAAAAAAGCGCAATAATGACTAGAAAATATTTTTTAATTAATGGTGTTTTTGTTGTTGTTTTATTAAAAAATATTTTTAAAACATGTGTGGAGTGTTGCTACATCGACTATCTTATAGCCTGACTAGCAACGGAGTGTTGCTACATCGACTGAAAAATAGCCTGACTTGCAAGGGAGTGCTGCTACATCGACTGAGGGTTTGGTTAGGGCAGGCAGTCTTTCATTATAAAAAAAAATTATTTAAGTATATATGTATATATATATATATATATATATATATATATATATATATATATATATATATATATATATATATATATATATATATATGTACTCTTGAGTACTTAATAGAAGTAGGTGGAGTGGATGTTTATTAATTTTAGATCTGGACTAAAATTCCCACCCACTCTTTTATTCCCTCCTTGTATTAGGGACTCGAAAGTAACATTAGACAATATTGTTTCCTACAGTAATGTAATGAATTTTATGGGACTAAATCTTACCAATAAAACTAGAAAACTGTTTTGTGCACAAACTAGAAAGTAGCGGGCAAACAGTAATGACATATCCCATAAAAAGAGAGCTTAACAAAACTTCAAGTAAAGGATTTAATCTCCTTCATTAGACAATACTGTTTCACAACACAAACATAATTAACATAATCATGTGTGTTTGTGTTCTGTCTCTACAAAGGGATTAGCACCGCACCAGAGGTGCGGTGCTAATCCCTTTGTAGAGACAGAACACAAACACACATGAACTAAACAAAAGCATACACAACAAAACATAAACATAATTACATACATAAAATGAATTACGAGTAGATCAGCACCGTGCCAGAGGTTGAGAAGTATTGTGAAACAGTTCCGCTTCCTCTTCATGAAGTATTTTTAACCTTTTTAGTTGATTTCCATCTAGTTAATTTTAATTTCTACAGTAACTCATTGATTTAATTATTTCATTTGTTTTTCTTACTAAGAATAATTGTTTCAAATATGTTAAAACTATGCGAAGCATAAAATCGTTATAAAAAAAAATTAACTTTTTTATTTATAAAATAATTTGGTTTAAATAAAACTAACTAGCGTTAGTTTTATTAGAATCTTGTTAGACTTTTTGGGGTTGTGGGCTATTTTTATTTTTTAGGCCTTTTTTATGCGTCACAGCATAAAAATGACAAAAAAAAAAAGTCTTCTTGACTATCTCAAGGCCCCTAAGATTGCAGAGCACAGGACTATAGCCCCCTCTAACCCCACCCCTCCTTAATCCAGCAATAGAAATAAGATACGAGTATATAAATAAAAATTATATTATAATCTTTGACAAATAAAAGAACAGTTGTTTTCTTATTAACCAATCGTAAGTTACATACAAAAATTTCACTTAATTTTATAAAAAAATTATAAAAGAGCGATGTTTCAAAAATATTTTTTCTAAATGTAATTTATTTAAGTTTTATTTATTTAAGCTTTAAGTTTTTTAGTGTTTAATGTTATTTTTTTTCCTAGTTTATTTTTTTTTTTGTAATTGTCTCTCATCGGCCCAGTTAATTTTTTTTGCGCTTATTTTTTTTTTTTTAATGTTCTCAAAACGACTAAAAAATCTGTCCAGTTTTCTGGTTTTAACTAAATATTAACTCTGTGGTCGGTAATCGAGAGTGATTGGTCCTGCTTCCCGACCAAGCCTGAATAATAATTTTATTAAAACAAAAAGATTTTTTATTATATAGTGAAAAATAATTATATTAGTTAAGCTAATCAAAACAAGTTTTCTTTTAACAGAAGTACTTATCATACACTGAGTTAGCTAAACTTAAACTTGTGATCTTGCTATTATAGGCGTTCAGGTAATACACAGTATTTTTTTATATAGATAATTTAACAGCTTTTACTAATTACAAAAATAATAAAAAAAACATTAGAACAAGAAAATTGATAAAAAAACCTTTGATCCAGACCATACAAAAATCTTTAAACCAGCATCACACACAAAAACATAATTTGGATCAAGTGACTCCCAACTTAATGCAACAGGTTCTACCGAAATTCCTTGACTTCCATATAGACGATACAAACGAGTGGTATACACAGCTTCTTCAACACTATAAAAACCACTGTTATTTCCTCCCTCAATATATGAGACACACGAATCAAACAAATCCAAAAATTCTTCAGATTCATCAGACTGCTCCTCTCTTAATGTTCTACCTTCTGCACCAAGAAGATTTCGTAAATTAACAGCATGAATTGCAGCACATGCTTTTTTGTCAAGCTAAATGTAAAAATGTAACTAATTTTATATATCTTTTAAATTGCATAAATTTAATAAATAATAGTTTAATAAACTATATAATAAATAATAGTTTTCATATAATAATTTATTAACATGTATAGGAAAATAAAAATTTAATATTTTTTTACAATTTTTGTAATTATACTATAAAAAAAAACTTGAAACTCTTTAAATTTTAAAAATAAACACCAGTACTACTACTAACAGTACTACTACTAACAGTACTAGTAGATTTATTAGGAAAAAAAAAATCAGACATACAGTACAATGTTGACCAATCCAATAGTAAATTTTATGATTAAGAATACCAGCATCACTGTATTCTGACTAAAAAAAAAAATCATAATAAATAAAAACATATTTTTTTTAATAACTATTGAATAGTTAAATGATAATTATATACTATGTTACAGCAGCAATGTTGCAATATTAAATTACAACCTTATTGTTACAGCAAAATGTTATAACACCTACATAAACACAAATATATTGACAAAACTATAGTCAGAAGATTAAATAAACGCAATTTAAAATTAAATTTACCTTTAAAATAATGTAACAGTCACCATCATAAAACTTTCCAAAAAATGCTAATAAAAAAAAAAATAAAAAATAAAAATAAATTCTAATAAAAAATAAAATAAAAAAATAAACAAGTACCTAAATACTTGTGTACTTAAATTTTATTTTGCATAACTATAACTAGAGTAAAAATTATTTACCAAAAAAAAGTATTTGATAAATAAATCACCTTGAAAATACTTTACTGTAGAAGAGTCATACCAATACATCTTATATTTAATTTATAATTACTATATATATTATAATTACTATATATATATAATACTTCTAATTCTTGACTTCTAATTCTTGACATTCATTGTACAAGACTCAGAAAACTTGCAAAATATTTAGAGTATATTCAAAATATCTAGGATTTAACATACCTCACACAAACAACACTGATATAATATCAATAAAAAGTCATTACTTAAAAGCACATTTAAGTAAAAGAACCAACAAATAGAACTGATTAAAAAAAAATATAATATTAAGTTCAAAGTAAGAACTATTTGTTCAAATTTACAATATCAGTATTTTATTGATTAATGGTATTAATTTTGATTCACCACCAGCAATTATATTTATATATATAAAAAATGTGTTCACATATTTCAATAGTATTGTGCAATTTATCAACACTTAATATTCGAAACCATTATCTGAAAACTCAAGTTAAAAATGAAATTTCTATGGCTATCTAAAATTTGTATAAAGAAAAAAAAAAATTTTTTTTTAATAATAATACAAAACAAGGGGACTAAAAATCATTCTTAATAAAATTAAGTATATAAAATTATTACACAATATTAAAAGTGATAAAATTAAACTTAAGGAACTAAAAGACATTCCAACTTATATTGGAGAATATAGTAATAATGGAGAACCATAGTATATAGAAATAATGGAGAAGTATCTTTACAATGGTTGGTTTACAAATGGCAAAAATTTATGCTCTACCTAAGATGCACAAACTCATTAAAGATTCTTATCTCAATAAAAATTTTTTATCTCCTTTTTGACCAAATAATCTACTTAAACTATAAACATAATTTTGTAAATTTTTCATTGAAAATCAAACATTTAAAATTAATAGAACTTAGTTAATAAAATTACTAATAAAAATATTATGATCAATTGGGTAGCATTGGGATGGGCTCTTCTTTAGCAGCAATTTAAAATAATATATTTATCAGGTTTCATGGCAAAAACATGGGTTAATAATTGTTTATCCTTTATAACTATTTTGAATAAACATGTAGATGATGATGATGGTATTTTTATTTCAAAATTTGAAGCTCAGGAGTTGATTAACCACCTCAATAAATAAAATGGAAAATTAAAATTTACTATGGAAAAAATAATGTCCATTAAAAGAAAATACAAAAAAATAAAATACTTTTACAAAATACTTTCAGCTTTCTTACTCCTTGTAATAAAACCTTGTTACCTCTTTTAATAAAATAGTTTAATACATTGTTTGATTGATCAAACATTAATAGCACATGGTTTTAATTTTAAAAAAGACATAAAAATTCTATAGATTTAAAAAAAAATTCTACACAAATTAAATTGATTGATTGTTATGTTAATAAAAAAAATTAATCCATTCAAAGCTGCTCAAATCTAAAGCAGCCTAAAAACTACACTTTAAAAAATACAAATTATTTGTCCTTTATTACTACTCTGTAATGTTTCTCAATTTCAATTTTTCTATACCAGGGTTCTAATTGTAAACTAAATTTTTAGAAAATGTAGTATGCTACAACAAAAAATGTTTAAAAAAATTTTTTTTTTTACATTTATTTCAAATGTGATAAACACAGGCACACACATACTTTGTCAGAAATGTGCAACCTTTCAATTAGGAATTAGTCTTAACAGTATACCACATTACCTATTACTAAATAGAGTTTGTTATCTTGTGAACTATTTATGCATTTCAAAATTTTATTATTTTTTAATGTTAAATGCCTACATTATCTCAAAAACCCTTAGATAATTATTTTAAAACAATGTTTTGAAATATTATTGACTAAAAAGTTTTAAAAAAGCTTATGCTGCAAATCCTGCTACGCTAACACAGAGTAATACATATATTTGATGATTGGCTCAGTTTCAGAAAAGGTACAGGTAAAAACTTTAACTGTACTTTGTGTCCTCAATATTCAAAAATATTTGGTTAGTCAATTAGGGATGTTGTGTGTAATGCATTGCAAACGAGGTCAATATGTTATATCCTATTAACTATGAAAAAAGATGTCAAGTCAATCTGGAAAACCCTACTCATTACTTGTGAAATACTTTTTCTGGGTGATACTCCACCACACAGTGTTTAACTTATGACTCCTAAAACAATACAGAGCTAGATGGATAACCAAGCTGTTATACTTGGTTATACTGGTTGCCTAGTATAACTATACTGTTATACTAGGCAATACAGATATGCACTAAAATTCCCACCTTTCACTGTAAATGATTACTAACTCTTGAGCAGAATATTGAAGGAGTTAATTCTTCGGGTCTTCTTGAAGAATAAGTCTGATCAATTTTAAGACCTTGTAATCGTGACATCAAGGCTTTATCTCAATATAAAGCAATCAAAAAAAACTCTATAAACCTATAAGTTTTAACTGTTATTTGTCCAGCTTTTGAAAAATACAAATTAAGTTTGGTTAAAAGTGGTATCAGTCCTGAGTTTAGATTGGATTGTCAAGAATGTATTAATTAAATAAATATTGTAAAGATTGTATTAAGTAAATACAGAGAAAATTTGTTAAAAAAAAACAAAACAAAAAACAAATGTAGACAGAATATCTAAATACTTAATATTTCACAGTTAATTAAAAGACCAATCCAAGCAATAGTGACTTGGCTGAATCATAAAGTTATAAACTCAATAGCCAATACAGAACTTTATCTAAAACCAACAGAAGCAGCAATCATTAAGAAAAATCAATTAGAAAAAATGTGATATCTAAATGTGATAAATGTGATAGAGGTTTTATTGGTTTTGCTGATGTTTACCTGTAGGTTAGTTGCAATTAGCTTCTAAATTGTACCAATTTATATCTGGAAAAGTCATGGTATTTTTTAAAATAAGTTATATGTTTTATACTCCAACTTAATATATATATATATATATATTCAATCGTTATCTTGCTCTACAATCTTCATCTTTTCTCTTCCAGTAACTTTCAACACTAATTAGTGGTTGCTTGCATCCTTGTTGGAAGCGAAGATAATTAAAAAAAAAAAATATATATATATATATATATTTTATTTAAAATTGATTAGCATTACAAATAATGAACTGTACAATCTTATCTATTGTTAAATAATGAGTAAAAGTTAGTTTAGAACGCAGGAAAAAGAACTGATCATTTATGTGTTGAAAAAGCAGCAGAGGTACCAATGTTTCTGTTGGGGTTTCTGCTATTGGTGCGAGGTAATTTAGTGGTTATTGGATGGTTTGTGTCTGCAAGGATCTTTTTTAGGATATTAATACAGGTCTTGTCAAATAATTCTTCATGTTAAAACAAATATTGTGACAGTTGGTTGCATCAACTCTGATGATGTGTAAGGCATTTTTGTGGAAATATTGTATCTCTTTTTTTGCTGCAACACTGCAAGAGATAAGAAGTAGGGCACTATATATCATGTGGCTAATAGCATAAGATCTGTAGACTTGTAAAAGGTTGGGCTGAGTGTGTCCAATTTGCTTAAGACGCTTGAGTAGAAATGGCATGTAAAAATGATTTTATAGTATTGTGCACTTTTAATCATTGTTCATCCCAATCAAGATCCTCATTGAACAGGATTCCAAGGTATTTATAGCTGTATACAATTTAAAATCAGTTTTATTGAGTATGGGAGATGGTAAAGCATGAGTGTTGGAGCACTGGACATTGTTTCTAATGAGTTTATATTTTAAGCTGTTGATTTTCATTCAATTGGCCCCAGACCAATGTGCAACACCATCAGCAATGGATTGAGGTAAATTGGCAGGAACTTTATTATAGACCATTTGGAAATAAATAAATAAATATATATATATATATATATATATATATATATATATATATATATATACATATATATATATATATATATATATATATATATATATATATATATATATATATATATATATATATATATATATATATATATATATATATATATATATATACACACACACACACATTTTAAAGGAAGAACTTAAACTAAAACTTATTAACTTATTTCAAAAAAATGACAAATAAAACCTACCTTCTTCTAATGGTGTAGGCAAAAAATTTTCAATAACCCAAATTAATAACCCTAAAAAAAATTTGAGATAAATACAAAGAAAAAAAGCAATAAAAATACCAATAATAGTAAAGACAAAATTTACCTGATTCCATACCAACATCATCTTGGAAAATATCTGCATAGTTTAAATTTGGTTTAGCAAGATTTTGATCCCATCGCTTTCCTGCCCTAAAACAGTTAGAATATATTTGCATAAAAATTTTACAGGCATACAATACTTTTCATGTATGTTCACATGAAATTTTTAGCTAAAAATCAAAAACATAATAAATTTTTTAAATCAATAAAATGATTTTACTTAAGGCGATGAGCATCTTGAAAAACTTCATTTCCACCTTCATCCTTTAGTAAAAAAATTAAAAAATATATATATATATATAAAATTCTAAAAATTTTGAACCATTAAAATTTTTGCAGTTGCTATTAAAAAAGGTATACCTTTCGAATTTTCTTATGCTTTTTTTCCTCCACACTCTCAACCATACCCTAGACATTAAATAATACCTGTTGTGATGAGTTACAATAAATAATAACATACTATTACAAAATTGTTATAAAAAAATAACTGTTATAAAAATTAAAAAAAAACTGCAGTATAAAAAATAAAAAAAGTATTGAAAACAACATTCTATTTAACAAAAAGAATATTAGGAAAAACTAGATATTTTTTAAAGAAAAGATATAAAATTTAATTTAAAGTTGCAAAAAAGAAACACATTACCTCTTGTATAATAAGTCCTTTTAAATGTAGTTTGCAGTGAGATCTTTAATACACTATGCAGTAAGTTAAAACTTTTAAACACCTTTACACGACTTAGGATTAGGATTGGGACTGAGAATAATCATTTATAAAATAATTTAGAAAGTGTTTGGGTATGATGAGTTCAGAAAAGTCTTGGATTATATCTATTCTAGTAAAAGTTTCACAAATACCAAGCTTGTACCTCCACTATTTGTTATCCCCCGAAAATACAAAAGAGTTGTCATATATAAAAATATAACTACATAGATGAGTTTTTAACTTTATGAAAATTTTAGAATTTTTTTTCTATTGAAAATCCCTTAAAATTATTCTTATAAAATTCCAGAAAACCCTGGAATTTTAAAGGGATAAATGTTTCTCTAAAATCAAATATAAAATCTCAGTTTTGCCGTAAACAACCTGTAATGCGCGATAATTTACTTGCTTTTTGAATATGTCAGATGTGGTTCAGAAATCAATACTTTTTATTCATACAATTTTAGATTACAAGACATTCATCAGCTTTTCTTTTTCTGCACTTTTTTGCATGATCAATAATAGATTCTATAACTATTTTGCACTGTTCTCATGTAAGGTGATTTTTTTTTCCACATTGAATTTATATTAAAAACTTTTCTGTTTTCCCGATGGAACTCCATTTTTTTAATACAGTGTTTGCTTGGAGTTTGCAAATGACCACAGAAGTTTTTGTTAACTAGATCATACAACATATCTTTTAAAAGTACCTTAGCGCTGTGATCTTGTTTGCTAATAATTGATACTTAACTGAAACTGTAGCAGAGTAGATTGGAGTATCAAAACAGTTTGTCTATTTATTAAAATGGTGTTCATCATGCTGAATGATTGCTCAGCATGAGGAACTTGTTAAAATGGTGTTCATCATGCTGAATGATTGCTCAGCATGAGCACTACTTAATATACTTAGGCATAATAATTTTACTAAGCTTTAAGAATATTTTCAAACAAAAGCTGTTGCCCTTACCAATCAAACGCTTTCAGCAAATATTCTTTTTTCTTTTAGTAACCTCAGGGGTACCGCAAGATCCCTCTTTAAGGGATCAAACTATTTCTTACCAACATTAGGAATGTTCCTAAGAATTAAATCTCTAAGTTGACTTTATTTACTGAAGATGCAGCTATATTTTCAATCTTAATAATAAGTCATCAATTTTTGATTGTTTAGAAACAGCAGTTGATCTTAAACACGACCTCTTCTTTGTGATCACTTTTCTGTCTGAGAATGGTAATCATTGTCTGGCAATTGTAGTGGGCAGCATTTTAACTCAAACCAGCACCCTTTCCTGATTCATATCATTTGCAAGTTCTTGTGTTAACTGCTTTCTCGCTCTTTAATTATCAATTTAACTTTCTCAGTTACTCCTCACTTAAATAGTCACTGCTTGAAACCTTATTTAAAGTGAGATTTGATTGAAAACGCAATGCAGGCTACTAATCTCAAGTAATGTAAATATATTCAGAGTAAAAACTGTTTAGATAATATTTTTTTCAAAAAAAAAATTGGTTTAGTACACAATTAATCATAGTCATAACCAATCCCACCGAAAATCAGTTTAGTGTTTCTGACTATTATTTAATAAAAAGATTTTAATATACAAAAAAGATTAAAAACACAATTACTTTTAACTTTTTATCAGTTTCAGAAGCTGATTGATATCTTCTCCCTCTAAGTCTCATCTAAAATATTAAAAATAAACAGTCAAAACTATTTTAATTATTAGAAACAATTTCTATAGTAAATATTATATTAAAATGTTTGTTTTTCAACAAAAATTTAAAATCTCTAAATCATACTTCTGGGATAATTAAAATTAAAACAAGATTAAAATAGCAGATTTTTTATTATGCATTGACGAATTGTTACCTTTCTTGCAATAGGGTCTTTACCTAAAAAATAAAAAACACAAAAATGTTATTTTTCCTTAGCTATTTTTATTGTTATACAAAATCTTCTTTTATAAACAGTTTATATAAATTATTTTATATACAGTTAACGCTATTTTTATTTTATATTAGGCAATAGGTAAATTAATATAAATTAAACTATGTTATATATAATTTATATAAAACTATTACATGAAATTTACAATATAAGTCAATTTTTAATCAGATTTTTTGTTTTATACCAAAAACACTTCAGATAAAAAGAAAATTTTTTAAATAATAAAAGGAATTGATTTCAAAAATAAAAGCAAAAATAAACTTTTATTTATATCACAATTTATTTTGCACTCTGTTATCTATATCACAATGTATTTTGCACTATGGATTTTATATTTTTTTATCTGTACATTTATAATAAATTGATAAAGTTCATTATAAATGTGAGCATGTGTCAAACTAATCAACCTACTTTGTGTATTAGCTGGAGATTGACCTGCAGCAAGACGTAATTGAGCATGATAAGAAAAGTCTATATTATAAAACTCTGCATCTACTTCACTATTGGAAACCGGTTTTGGAGGCATCACTAGTTTGGGATTGTTTCGTGTATCTAATGTCTATAAGAACAATAATTTTGACTAAATTATTGATAATATATTTAAATAATAGGTGTAAACGAATTATCCAATAACCCACCTCCAAATTTGTCAAGAAATGAATGCCTTCAGGTAGTGTAACTAAGCAGTTTGAATGCAAAATAAGTTTTTTCAGTTTTAGGCATCTGAAAAAAGAAAACTTTTTTAAAAATATCTAATTTAAATTTTATAAAATATAAATTATATTAAAATAACTAAAAAACCTGCAAAGCCCTTCTGGAATGCATTCTAATTGATTCCATGCAGCCATAAACACCTCCTAACACCAAATTTATAAAGACAAATAATTTAAATGCATAAAACATTAACAGTTTTAAAGCAAATTGACTGAAACATTAAAAGTATAAGAAGCACAAGACTCAAAAAAGATTTACACATATAATTAATGCAGTAGTGGTGCAGTGGCACTGCGCTTGCTTAATAAGCAAGTAGTTCCACTCCATGCTATTACTGGTATTACTGTACTAAACTTATTTCTCCACGTAGCGGCCTTGTAGATTAAGGTTTGTGTTTTGGAGTTAAAAAGTTTGAGAGTGGGTTATTAAAAAAATAATAATAATTAGTAGTAGTAATAAATAGCCTCCTTGACTGTGGTGACTCCCTCAGTCTTGAAGAGATTTAAAAATAATGAAATTCAAAAAATTTGTTACCAAGTTTAAAAGTTTGCCAATGCCTGTTGGTATACCCTCAAATTTAATTTTATTGCCTAAACAAAAATAATAGTTTAAATAATAATAAAAAATTATTTAAATTTATTAAACAAAAATCATGTAAAAAACTCCATATCATAATTTAGAGTTTTTTTACAAATAATATAAATCCTTTTATAATATAAGAATAATATAAAGCAGGGTCTGACCACAGCTTAATAATTGGACTGAGGTCATGCCTTAGTCACATACTACACAGCTATATTTTTATTGTTTATTTTTTAGATTTTATTTTGCTAAACATTTTTAGCTGTTCTTAAACAACAAAATTATTTATGAAAATGGTTTTTACATGTTTTTCTTCTTTATATTTAACTTTTCCCCCATAAACACCAGTTTCTTTTGTTTTTTTTTTTTCTTATCTTTCTATTTTTTAATTTTCTATTTTTTTTTTCTATTTTAATTATTTCATTTTTTTTTTAAACATCTTCGCTTCCAACAAGGCTGAAAGCAAACACTAATTAGGGTTGGAAGTTACTGGAAGAGAAAAGACAAAGATTGTAAAGCAAGATAACGATTGACAGACGACTTAAAAGATTGCAAATTATATGAATCAGGAAAGCAAGATGAAGGAAGCGAATTCCAAAGAACTGATGTTCGAGGAAAAAAACTAGAGGAATAAGAGTTTTTGGAGCACTTAGGAACAGTCACAAAAAAAGGATGAGACTTAATTGAATGACGAGTAACATGAGAATGAATTTTAGTAGATGGCACAAGAGACGCTAGCTCTTTAGAGCAGTATCCATTATAGTATTTGTAGAAAAGAGAAAGAAAAGCAACATTACGGCGATGTGATAATTGTTGAAGATTGGCTGCAAGAGCAGGTCCAACTATGTTTACAACGCGTTTTTGCACCTTGTCTAAAGGAGAAAGGGCATCATTAGAAGATCCGCCCCAGATATGGCAACAGTGTTCCATACAAGGTGGGATTTGAGATTTATAGAGATAGAGAATAAAATTCGGAGTAAGAAAGTGTTGAACTCGATAAAGAGATGCAACCTAAGCAGATGCTAATTTTGCAACAGATTTGATATATGGTTTCCAAGAAAGATCAGAAGTAAGAGTTAATCGTAGAAGCTGAAGGGTAGATGACTCATCAAGTACATTACCATTCATAAATATAGGAAGGTCTAAATTATATTAATAACGATTCGCTGAAAAAAATTGAGTTTTATCTGAATTAAAGTTCACCAGCCACTGTGAGCCCCATGCTGTAGCATATTTCTTAGGGAACTTTAATTTGTTAGTTTAGTTAAAGCAAAACATATTCCCTGCACCCCAAATAACAGAATTATTATTACACAACTAATAGAACATTGTTTTATTACACATTTTATATTATTATTTAATTTTTTAATTTTAAATTATAAATTGATTTTAATTTTATGCCAATTATTTACTTATACAAAATGAAAATTTTATTATATTATAAAATATATTATATAAATTATAAAAATTATAAAATAATATTTTATTAACGGTTAAAAAACTGTATAATAAAAATGCATCAACCAATAGTAGAGAAACACTTTTAATTAGATTGAACAAAAAGTTGCTTTTAAAATCTTTAATATAAATAAATACTTATTATTTGCTTCACACAATACAACAGCACTTGATTCCTTTAAAACAATAATGACTTTATTTTTCATTTCAAGTTTGTTGATAGCAAATATAAAAAGATACCTAATGCAAGTTTAACATTGATCAACCAAGATTTACTCTCATCAAACAAAATTTACTTTCACTTTTAATCAAGCAAGATTTACTTTCACTTTTATTCAATGAAAATTTACTTTCACTGTTAATCAAGGAAAATTTACTTTCACTTTTATTCAAGGAAGATTTACTTTCATCTTTAATTAACAAAGATTTACTCTCACTTTTATTCAAGCAAGATTTATTCTGAGGTTACAGAATAAGAAGAAGAGTGCTGTCCATCAAGGACAACTTTTATACTACGATTGGAAAGAAAGGATTCAATAATCTTAAAGATGTTTCCAGATACACCGTAAGAAGAAAGCTTATGGAGGAGACCAGCATGCCAAACTTAATCAAATGCTTTAGAAATGTCAAGAGCAATAAAACCGATTGGTTATTACTGATAGCAAATCAGCCGTAGAACGAGAAGATCGAAATCCATATTGATGATCAGAAAGTAGGTTATGAGATTCGAGATTCGAGATTAAGTGTTTGTTAATTAAAGATTCAAAAACCTTGCTTATGATAGGAAGAAGACTAATGGGACGGTAGTTAGAATTTTTAAAAATAGGGATAACAGATGCTGCTTTCCAGCAGGCTGAAAAACAAGACTCTGATAAGCACTTGTGAAATAGTTTTGAAAGGATAGACGACAGCTCCGGAAAACACTTCTGCAAGACTATAACAGGTATGTTGTCCGGGCCGCAAGCTGAAGAAGAGTCTAAGCGGTAAATCACTTTAGATACAGAAGCTGGATTAATACGAATGTCGAGCAATGGATCAACCTGTTTGACGGCTATATCAGGTAGAACGCAACTAGTGGCATCAAGAGATGATATTGATGAAAAGTTCTTGGCAAACAATTCAGCTTTGTCTTTAGGTGAGGTGACAAAGTCTGAACCATACAAAAGAGGTGGAATTACAGACTTGCCCTTATTATTGATATTATTAAAGATTCTCCAGAAGTCACGAGAGCCTAATTTTTGAGATGAAACATTTTTTCTCTCCAAATAAATTTTCATTTGTTGTTTTTTAACTTTTTATTCTCAACTAATATCCAATTATCATTACCTTACTTAGTATTTTTGCTAATAATGCCTATTTTGTTTTAAAATGACAATAAAATATTATTTGACAAAAGATGCAAAGTTTATTATTAAAATAAATAAAAAATTATATTCAACTGTAATACACTGTGTATTACTATCATTTAAAAACTTACACTGCAGTATGATGTAATAATACTGTAATAGTAACTTCAATAGTAATGATAATTTATACTTAGTTTATATAATTATGAATAAAAGTAAAAAAATACAGTTTATTCTTGTTTGTTTTTAAGCAACTGTTACTGTTTTAATTACAATTAACTAAAATTAACTAATACCAATTAATCATGAACAAAAAGTTTGTTAATGAGTTTTTATAGTTGATTTGTCTATTTAGATAATTTTTTATTTAACAATTTATAATATTTGTACTTGAGTTTTTTCTATAGTTTTATATTTTTCAATATAGGCATTCAAAATTAAAGGATTGGCTGAGTTATTGTAAAATGATAACAGCATATTTTTTTATTTGTCGAGAATAACAGCCAATGGCAAACTGTAAGATTTAATTACTTCAAAACTAGGTATATATTTTTAGCTTTTGATGGACAAATAACTATATTATACTTAAAAAATATAACGGCTCAGCATGTCTAATTGTATGCATGATAATAAAGATTTCACGATATATACATATTTGAAGGAAAGTCTATAAGCTGTTCCTTATGATAAACTGGTACACCTAATGGAAGTGTAAGAATTGTGTTTTGAATTGGTTAATTGCAACTAAAATTAATTAACTGTAACATGAATCTCTACTAATAAATAACTTGTTAAAAAGATTTTTATTGATTTTTAAATTTGACTAAATTTAAAAGTAATTTTCAAGTTCAATTATTACAAAAAAACTTTTAAACATTTCAATTTTACTTTTTGTCTTTGCTTGCTTTGGTTTATTTACTTTTTTTTTTTAATTGATTTAAAAAAATTGAATTTCACCTGCTAATATTGCTACCTGTTACACTATTGCTTATTGTCACTTGTTTTTAAAATACTATTATTATGTTTACTAAGTTTATTCTAGCATAACTTATAAATTATGCCATTAAATAACTTATTACAATACAATAACGTACAAATTTAATACTTAATAATACAACCAAATATTTTTAATTATAATATAAATTGTATTAAAAATAACATAACACAATTTAAAAAAAATCTTTATTAACAATAATATAAAAAAAGATCTTAAAAAATAACAACTTACTATTTGTATATAATCTCTTTAAGTTAGTCAACTTGCAAATAGTTGCCTTAAAAAAAAAATACAAAAAAAAAATTAAATAATTAAAAAAACTAAAAAAATTTGTTGTAAGTCACAAAAACAAAACACATGTTCCTGGTCTTCTGTACAGATATTATAGAAGCAACTAAAAATTTACACCTATCTATTTTCAGCTAATCATTTTCACAGTAGCCTTATTATTCAAATATCTATGAATGGTAGCATACTGACGGAACCTCTTACCTTACATCTTCTCAAGTTAACTTTTAAATTCAAACTTTTTAAATTCAAACCTTGCAGTTTTTAAACTTAGATTTATATTTATTTACCTAAAAAACTCGCTTAAATGTATTTTGTCTTGCATTGGGGATCTGAGGCACAAATAAGAGCTTTCATTGTATTGTATATCTTTGATCCTGCGATACTCTTTCCCCTGACTGATTATGTAAGTTAAAATATATTCTTTTAATAATTTAGGACACTTTCGGATGTTCTCTATATTTTTTTTATGCTCTCTAAACACAACAATATTAACCAATCACCTTACACTTTCATCCTCCAATCAATTAAGACTTTCTCTGACCAATAGCCTTATTATTATTACTGAGGCTTAGCTTGAGGGATATTTTTCTTTTCATTGATTACTGCAAAATACGTCATACATCACCTGTGTACAATTTTACAATTTACATGCGCTCTATAAACTGCTCACTGGCATTGCGCAAAATATACTTCAAGACATTCTTATTCAATATCAAATTATCGTAAGACTTTGATCTTAAATGTTTTTTATTTTATTGTGTGTTTGTTTGCCTTAAATTTGTACTTTAGTACATAGGAACAATGTAACTTATAAGTTTTTGTATGTTACTTTTTGCACAACGTGTTTTATTAATTTTCTAAAAAGTATATCAGCGTACTTTGTTTAAAATGGATCAAGTTAGGGTATTTGGCTGAGCAGTAGTATGTCCTCTCAAATGTTGCAACATAAGAAGGCTTTGACGCAGACGTAGAGGTGGGTTTTATTTGCTTGTTTTGAGGATGTTACCCCGACGGGAGTTTCTAGAAATGAGCATTAAAACATTCGAAACGTCAAATACCAGAGTATTGAATCTTTATAAGGATCAATACAATGTCCACTCCCTGATGAGTATCTGGTATTATACTACATAATTTTGAATTTTATTTTAACGCTGATATATTTTGATTTTCTTTCTTTAAGCAATTATGCACGTGCTTTCCCTTTAAATTAAATGTTTATTTTTGTTGTTTGTTGTTATACTTCTGCTTTATAGCTGTACTTTTTCTCTAAAGAATTGAGTAATTGTGTTATATTAGATTAATTGTGTATCACATTATGCTTACCACAATGATGGCAATTGTTAATAATTGTTTTGATTTTTGTAATATGTTTTTGAATATTTATCTTATAATTTCATATAGATTTACTTAGATGTTTTGCATGACAAATAAACAGACTTATTGTGTTTTTCGATCTTTGAGTACGTAAACTAAATTTAAAACAAATATCTCCATTATAAGGGTACATGTTTTTATAAAAAAAATTCACTAAAACAATTAACTCCACTAAGCGGTATGAAATATAGTTGAATCTGTATTAAGTTAAACAAAACTGGAATTAAGTAAAAAAAAAATAACTATTTCTAATATAATCAATCACTTCTTTTATCTCAGGCATTTACGGCTAAATATGTTCCACTAGTGACTATACTTACTTATTCTAGTTACGAACCTGATATGTAAAGAGAAAATAATAAGATCGGAACTGAACAAGACTGAGAATCAAATTATTTACGAACACACAGTTTCAAACAAGTAAAGACATTAAATGACACATAAAACTTTAACGTTTAGAACAGTACAAACACAAAACATAATAACTTACAGAACACTGAAACAACACTTACTCAAATCTAACATAAACAACACTCACTTAACTCAAACGTAATTACTGAATAGTACTCCTTTTTTAAACACCAACTCTCAATTCTGGACATCTGTCTGAATATGGTAATTAATCTAGCACTCTCTAGCACTTAGTTAAAATATATCTTTTCTTCTCTCAGAACTACAACAGCCTGATGTGTTCCAAATAAGTGGTGGAACTTTAATAGCTTCCACTGCGAAACAATAGTTACTACTGACCTTTGGACTCTATAAAACATATATCAAATTTATTGTGAAAACCATATATCAAACCATCTTTATTGTGATATATATATATATATATATATATATATATATATATATATATATATATATATATATATATATATATATATATATATATATATATATATATATATATATATATATATAATCATATGTCATATATGATCCAGAAAGTCTAATAATGACAAATCTCATTTAGACAAAGTGTCTTTTCTATCATAGACAATGTAAAGAAAAAAAACATTACCACAACAGCAAAAATTTAAAGATGCAAAAAGGTAATAAAATAACATGACTGTTAACTATAATAAGAATAATAAAAAAAAATGTAACAAAAATAATAGTGAATGACAGGATTAAATTAGATTTTGGAATAGTAAAATGTTAAGCAACTCTAACAACAACACTTATACTATAATTATTTTGTTAATAAAAAACATACCGGTAAGCCAGTAAGTTGGTTTCTTCCAACATTCAATGTTTCTAACTTTGACCATGAATCTAAAATTTTAAAAATAAAAACAAAACACTTGTTAAAAACCTTTATTTTTAAATTTTTTAATGATGAAACCAAATGACAAAACAACGTACCTACTAAGGAAGATAACTCGGTAATCTGATTGTGACTTAAATCAAGTCTTTTTAAGTTATTCATCCGATAAATAGACTCTGGAACTCTTGGCAAATCATTGTGGGAAATATCCAAGTCTGTTAAAGTTTCAATATTATCGAGTTTGTTTGGCATGTTAGAAAGAGTACGCTAGAAAGAAGCTAAATTTTATTAAACATTAACAAAAAACTTAAAAAAAAAAAATTAAATAATTATCAAACTTTTTTTTTTTTTTAATTATTTTTTAATGGTTCTACCAAATATTAAACTTACTTGCGTATTTCTAAGATGAAGAGTATGAAGCTGTGTTAAAGAAGGTAGTTGTCTAAATTATAAAGCAAGCTTATAAAATAAACTGATGTTTTAAAAAGTATAAAACTAATGTCATTCATACAATAAACTAATATTTTAAAGAGTATAAAACAAATATCATTCATACAATAAACTGATGTTTAAAAGATATAAAACAAATGCCATTTATACAATAAACAATAATGTTTTAGGCAGTATAAAGTGAATAATAAGTACAGTCTAATATATTAAAGTGTGCTTTACAAAAAACTGTTAAAAAAATTACCTCAAAAATAAAAAATACCTTAGAAATTAACAAATACCATACCGTAATTGTGCATGCATGAGTGGATTGTTATTCAAAATCTAAAGAAAATATAAAAAAGTTAGTTTAATTCATTTTTTTTTCTTCTGTTTTCTAAAATCATCATTAAACTACGGTTATCTTTAACTGCGCTTTCTTACAGAGGTATACACAAGATTTCTTCTTACAGAGGTATACACTGGATTTTTAAATGTTTGAGTTTTGCCACTTACAGGCATTGTGATAACTCCAAATTTTTTTATGTTCGTGGTTATGCCAAATAAGAATGTTTTGCAAAGAATTATGGTGATTAAAGCTAAGGAACAAAGAAACCCTAATTTTTGGGCTCAATCAGCCCTTAAGTGGGAGCAACGAGTTTATAAAATATTTTTTCTACTATTTTCATCTAAATTTATATTCATCAATAAATTTTAAGTTCCATGCAATAATCTCTTTTCGATAATTATAACCATATAAAGTTTTAACCCCCTCAATTTGAGGGAGCTGTAAACTTTGCAGGGTCATAAAAACTGAACACTAGGAGATTATTGCATGAAATTTGAAATTTCTTGATGAATATAAATTTAGATAAAAATAGTAAAGAAAATATTTTATAAACTTGTTGCTCCCAAAGTAAGGGCTGGGTATGCCCAAAATTTCGGAGTTTTTTATTCTTAAGTTTTAATCACCTCAATTCTTTGCAAAACATTCTTATTTGACATAAGCATAAACATAAAAAAGTTTGGAGTTTCCACATACCTTAAAGTATCAAAGCTCAAAAATCTAAAAATCCAGTGTACACCTCTGTTTTTTACATTATGGGAACTATTGCCTATTAAATGTAAATATAATACTTTTTACATTTAACAGTTGGAATCCATAAAAATGAAACTCTTTTTTTTACTTTGCCTTACTTTTCATTATTATCTAAATTTACCAGTGTCTGAAGGTTGGTCAATCTTCGCAATTGTGGAGGTACAGTCTCTATTAAAAAAAAAACAAAAAAAAAACTATAAAATGCAACCCTTTATTTTGATACTTCTGAATATATACTGAAAATATTATTGATACTGAAAATATTATTATTCAAATCAATCTTATATAAAAATACATAGCTGTAGTATTCCAATCAATCTTATATAAAAATACATAGCAATATTATTCAAATAAATCTTATATATAAAAAAAGATAATAAAAAAAAATTATTGAAATGAACAACAAAAATAAAACTACCTAATGAATTGCTGCTGATATCGAGAAAGATCAAATCAGTCAAATTCATAAAGAGCTATTAAAATAAATTAAAAATTAGAATCTATATGAGCTTTAAAAAGTTCAAAATTATATTTAATATATTTATAACATAAAACAATTTTAAACATATTTACAAAGTGGACATAATATATACATAACAGGGCTTTAATCCATACATTGACTAAGAATTTGGATTGGAAGACTACTAACTTTATCAAATATTGTACTAATACTGCTAAATTATTAGTAAAAGAATAAAGTTGGTATTATATGCCCTAAACGGTTTATAAATAATTAATTCAGGATGACAGCTATAAAGCTCATTGGTTAGTAGATATTTCTTGTAACTTAGAAGACATTTGTAAAATTCAGAGAATGAAAAAATATAAGTAAATAAATTGAATTTTTTCATAAAATAAAATATTGTTTCATATAAATAATTTTATATAGTTAACTTTGATTGAGAAGTAATGGGAATCATTCCTATTCACATAAATAGTTTTGGTAGATTTCAGGAAATTTTCTAGCATTAAAACTAGCCCTCACTGGTCAAGATATACTGTTCCATTTATAAGTTATTAGAAACCGCATTTTTATAGACTTTAAACAAGGCGGTTTGATATCATTCATGATTCCTTTATTGTCTCTAATGATAAACTTACAATTACTAATGACACATACTGCCGAAATTTGGATACTTTTCATAAAAAACAGATAATTCTTCAGTCTGCATTTGTCAATAGAAAAGGCCCTAGTCTGCTTCACAATTATTTTCTCTCTCTTTATATATATATATATATATATATATATATATATATATATATATATATATATATATATATATATATATATATATATATATATATATATATATATATATATATATATATATATATATATATATATATATATATATATATATATATCATATATATATATATATATATATATATATATATATATATATATATATATATATATATATATATATATATATATATATATACATACATATATATATATATATATATATATATATATATATATATATATATATATATATATATATATATATATATATACACACACACACACATATATACACACACATATATATATTATTAAAAATTTGACGGGTGCCTAAAATTTTGAAAAAAAAGTTTTTCTAAAGTATGTCGACCTGGTACTCAAAATAATCAAAATTATATAAAAAATTAAAAAATGAAAATCATTTTTCATAAAAAATTTTTTTTCAGATATAAATGCATGAAAACAATTTTTTTTTAAGCTGAAAATAAAAAAAGGCAACATTTTGAAGTTTTATGAGAATAACTTTTTTTAAGGCATGTTTTTTACGTAAATTATTTTTGAGGTTTTTATATAACTTTTTTTTTATATAATAAAGAAAATTTTAAACTTTGTGTTTTATTATTATATAGAACAAATTAAAGGGGTAAGAGCAGGTTTTTTTCAAAAACGTTGTTTTAAGAGTCACCCAAATATATATATATATATATATATATATATATATATATATATATATATATATATATATATATATATATATATATATATATATATATATATATAAGCACTCAAGATAGAAGCCAATCAACGATCGGCTAACTTTTAGAAAAATTGACATTTTAATCTCCTAAAATTAAATGTGGCCGATCAAATTTGATCGCCAGTAATTGCGTGTCAAACTTTAATAATAATTAATAGAAAAACATTAAAAATGCAGAAAGATAAAAATAAAGAAAGATAAAAAAAGTAACATCAAAATTACATAAAAATGAATTATATTTTAAATTTAATTCATTTTAATAACAATCAACTTTTTTAAATTCTAAATAAAATTATTTAAAAAAAAAAAAAAAGGAACGGCAAGTTTTGTTTTAATTCCAAAAAAACTAAAATTGATAAAAATAAAAAAATCTAAAAAAAAAGCAAAACAAACGTTTTATTCATTTTCTAAAAAAAAAATAAAACGTTTAATTAAAATAATTAAAATAAAGACAAAAAAAAAAAAAAAAAAAAAAAATTAATTCTTATTTTATTTTAAATGAACATCTTTAAATTAAATACTTAAAAAAAAGGCAAAGTTTTATTTTAATTTTAAATAAAATAATTTATTTATATTCTAAATAAAATAATCAAAATAAATACGACAAAACTAATGTTAATTTAAAATTATATAAAAATGAATTATATTTTAAATTTATTTAATTTTAATAACAATCAACTTTTTTAAATTCTAAACATAATAATTAAAATAAAAACAGCATTGTTTTATTTACACTCAAGAAATATGGCAAATTGAACATTTATTTAAATTTAAAAAAAAACAAAAAAAAAATCACGGTAAAACAAACGACTCATTTCAATTCTAAATAAAATAGGTTAAAACAGCAAATGCAATTTAATTACATAAGGTAAAAAAAAGTGCATTTTAAATTTTAGTAAAGTTTAACAAAAAAAAAATTGATCGTCTAAAGAATGATTTGATCGTCTGGTTTTTAAGCAGATCAATATTAATCAGCAACAATTGAAAAAATAATTTTGAGCGCTGATATATATATATATATATATATATATATATATATATATATCTGTGTGTGTATAAGTGTGAGACACATAAAACATGCTTCGAACTCCATAGTACATCATCATTAAAATTACATCTTAATTTTAACGATGATGTACTATGGAGTTCTTAATTAAAATAAATCTTTAAAAAAACCTTTTAATATAGGTTACATAACTAATTACTCTCTCTCTCTCTCTCTCTCTCTCTCTCTCTCACACACACACACACACACACACACACACACACACACACACACACACACACACACACACACACACACACACACCAAAGCACATCTGTAAAAAATAAAGATCATAGATACCTGATTTGGAATGGATGTTAATCTAAATGAAATAAAATAAAAATACAATGCGTATTAAAAAAAGATTTATATTATGATCATTATAACCAGTATTCTGAAAAATTTCATTATTTTTTCAAAACTCACCTGTTGTTACTCAAGTTAAGTACAAGCAATTCGCTTGCATTCTCTAATTCCTCTGGAATCTAAATAAGAGGTCAGAGAGAAAAAAAAAAATTATAGTTTCGTTTCTATAATTTTATTTCTATATTATGTAAACAAAAAATATATTAAAAACATAACAATGCTAATCAAACCTCAATTATCTGGTTGTAGCTTAGATCCTACAGGAAGAAAAAAAAAAAATTAAATAAAAATTTGTTTATAAAAAAATATAATTATTACCACACTGCATCAAATTACAATCACTAAATCAAAGTAAAAAATTTTAGATTAAAAATAAGAGAAAAAACAATAAGTTTAGATGAAACTGTGAGATTATGTCAGATCTGCAATTTTAAAGTTGTTCTCTAAAGCATATATAAAAGATATGTGATTTTAAAGTTATTCTCCAAAACATATATGCATTTATTATAACAAACAAAATTTATATATTTCATGTTGTCAAAACTGTAACTGTTCGTGTGTTGCAATATATTTTTGTTACTTATAATAAATATCTTCTTGTTACCTATAATATATATTAACAATTTTTACTCGACAATCCAAAATAATAAACACCTAATAATATTTATAACAAAACAACTTACTAACTAATTAAATATTTTATTTCAGTTCACAAAAATTCAACTAAACTGATAAATAACACAGTTATAAAAATAAGACAAAATAAATTGAAAAATAAAAATATTAAAAAGTACCATAGTAAGTAAATCTTCAAGAGCAAAGACTTCATTGGGAATACTTGCATTCTTGAGGTGATTATGACGAGCATTAATTACCTAAGAAGGTTTTAATTACATTAATTAAAAAACAATAAAAAAAGTTATTCTTTGTGTACCGTGTACAATAAATATGGTATTTTACAGATGTTGAAATAAGTGCCAGACATTAACACTCCCCTGATTATTTTTGAGACCTGATTGAGGAAAGAAACCTACCATTGTTCATTTATAATGAAAAAATCAACAATGATTTGTTGCCCTCCTATAGCAGGTCTAAAGAATGGTCAGAGGAGGGTGATGTCAGACACCTATTTTGACCCCCTGGTGTTTTATAAAAATTTGTTTAAAAGTAGTCTAATTTTCAATTTGTATTCAGCTGAAAAAAATTTTTTTTTTTTAGTTTACATTTTGATGATTTCACAGCTTTACCATATTTGCTGTCCTCAATGGATTTTGCTGAATACATTGCAGTTTCTCTCAAAAAAATTGTTTTATTTTGTTGTTTTTAACTTATTTCTTATAGTTTTATTTTGCATATTATTTTCATTAACCTAGTGATGTTTTATATTTATTTATAGTAATATTTAAAAATAAAAAAAATAAAAAATGGAAAATAAATGGGTTCAAGCCTTCAAAGAAAAGTCTGAAATTCGGAAACATTGTTAAATTCAACAAAAGATAAAAATACTGTTAAGTGTGAATATTGTTAAAGGCAAAACAAACAGTAAAATTACTTTATCATTTTGAATAAATAGAAAATATAAAAAAATAAAAAGAGTTACAGAAGACTTTGGAAGTTGATTTTCTTTATCATGCAGAAAATCATACAGAATTTTTGTTGATATTTTTTGTAACAAATTGGATTTTTCTGTTTATCAAAGCTACATAAGTCTATCCATTTGGCATAAAAATTTTGAATTTAATTTTTTTTTCAAAATGCATAATTTTTTTTTTTTATTGAACATATCACTATGACTGGTTGACAATTGCACAATTTTTAATTGAGTTTTTTCAAATACCACTCAATCGATATTAATACTTTTTGTTTTTGTTTCGAATAATGCATACCGCCAACCGGGGTAACTTTAGTCGTCGGGGTAACTTTGGTCAATTGTTAATTTTTTTAAAATTCCTTAAATTTAAAAAAGATAACATGTTTTAGTTTTGTTACAGATACCAACAATATATATCAACAATAATATCAACAATTTATATTAACAATTTTGGTATATCTACAATTTTTGTGAATATAGCACAGTTACTTCGTAGACTACATTGACATTTTAGATGTATTTTGGTGTTTTTTGACATTTCTGATACATTTATTGAACCATTTGGATTCTTAGAATTTTGTCTGCTAACTCAGAGGTTGGCAGACAATGTGAAACCAACACGTTCCGAGATCAATGCATTGAATGTCAACCTTTACTTCTATGAATTGCAACATGTAGTTGAAGATGTGTCTGCTAGTTATATATACAACTATGATGAAACAAATGTGACGGATGATCCTGGTTCAAAAACAGTTGTATGTCAAAGTGGTCTTAAGGTTGTTGAGCCAAAAATACAATATTCCAAGTCCACAATATCATGTATTGCAGATGGAACTTTTATCACACCAATGGTAGTTTGTAAAGTGCAGAACTGCTATGTTGAATAGACAACTGGTTTTCTGTGTTTAAAGAATGTTTATTTCACGTTTCTTTAAGTGTTTAAGGACTGATGATTTTTTAAAACTCCAAAAAGTGACCAATATTACCTCATAGCAAGGGTATTACTGATCAAACATGATACATAATGAATGACCAATGTTACCCAAAAACCTGGGGTAACATTGGTCACTTTTTGGCGTTAAAAAAAAAAAAAAAAATTGCAATAAAAAAATTAAAAGAATAAATATAGAAATGTGGTAATAACATACGTCTTGGCCTATAGCCAAGACTTATAATGTTATTACCACAAGAGAAAACTGTAAAAAAATTTATAAGATTCAGAGATGTTTAAGAAAAACTGCAGAAACTGACCAAAGTTACCCCGGTTGACGGTACGCAAGTATATTTTTGTGTGCAAGTGTAGTTTTGTTTACATCTAATTAGTTTTTGCAATGTTAAGTATAGGTCTGCAAATTGAAAATGTTCAGAAAATGTCCAGTTTTTGAGAAAAAATGTAAATGGGTAAATTTACAAAATTATGAAGTTTATAGTTTAACACTACAAAAAAAAAAAAAAAAAAAAAAGTCACAAAGTGAAATTGTCACAAAAATAAATTTACTTATACAGGGGTGGGACCGCAAAATGTGAACGTTTTTGTTTTATTATAACTATTTTCTCGTTAGATGTAGTTGAGTTTATTTGATAAAAAACGAAAGACAAAGTACTAATGAATATGTAAACAAAGTAAAATATAATATGTAAAAAAACAAAAATTGAACATTTAAAATAGTTCATATTTAACAGAAAATTAATTATTACAATCAGAAAAGTGTTCACATTTTGCGGTCCCACCCCTGTATGTTATAAATTGATGATATTTTTTGTTGAAATAAAAACTAAATATAATCTAAATCTAAACACATCATTAAAAAAATGTTACGATTAATTTAATAGTTTTTGAGAAAATGCAATTTAAAATCAAATTACAACCCTTAAAAATGATAATTAAACTTACTTTTAAAACTTTGTATGGTATACCTTTGTAATGGTAATACCATTGTTAAGCTACAGCATAAATTTTGGTTTATAATATATAATCTTAAGTAATAAAGACATAATTGAGATACTAGTGTTTAAAAAAAATAATCTTAATATGAGCCTTAAGTCTTAGTTTGAGCCTTAATTAAATAATTAATAGTTAGGAAAAAATATATTTAGACAGAAATGATTGTAATTGGTCATGCATACCGAAATACCAGTAATGAACAAAATCGATACCTGTACTTTGTTACTAACTTAATACCTGTATTTCTACTAATCTAATACCTGAATTTTGTTACCAGAAAAAAAGTCCAATAATAGCAGTATTCCTGTATCCATAAAACGGATGAACTACTCGGAAAATGTTTAAACATTTTAAAATAAATTATTGGATATATGGCTGTGTAGAAAATACAGTTAACAAAATTTTTTAATTTTGCTGGTTAACTGCTTTTTAGTTAATCACACGATTTATAAGCTAAAAACAGGCATTTTAAGCATTATTAACTATTTATCTTAGCATTGTTAAATATTAATTATTATTGAATTTTTATCATTATTAACTATTTATTTTAGCATAATTAACTATTAATTAGCTGCACAGCCGCATATCCATTGTTTTATTTGTCAATCTTTATAATTAGTTTAAAGATTTTTAATTTAAAAATAAAAAAAAATTGTGGTATGTATAAAAGATAAAAAGAAATAAGTATTGAACAGTCTTTTAAAACTGATAATTTTATAGGATTGTTTAATGTTCTAGTTTCCACTATAAAAACTTTATGCAGGAGGTTGAAAAAAATTTTCTGCCCACACTCTAATAAATATCATCAATGTGCTTGAACATTGATACAAAAAGTAGATATTTAAAGGTTACCTATTTGTATTAACTAAAAACAATTACTTTTAAATTTGGTAAGTTGGCCACATCAATTTGTAAGCTGTTTAAATTATTTTTCACTAATGAAAGATGCTCCTAAAAAAAAAAAAAAAAAAAATTAATGTATTTCAAAATGTATTCTACAATTTTAAAATGTATTCTACAATGTTCTCAAAAGAACAGAACAATTACAAAGTAGTAGAAAATCACTTAGCAAAAAAATTTTTCATTTAACACTGTGTTTCTTCAATAAAGACTCATCAGAAATGAATGATCAAATTAATAAAACTGCAACTTAAATCCTAAATGAAAAAACTACAGAAAATTGTAATTGTAAACAAAAAAACAATTGTCCAATGAGTGGAAGTTGTCTATCCAAAAATGCAGAATATAAATGTGTTGTTTCCTCTAAGAATGAACCTGTTAAACATTATATTGGTATAATAGAGGGTGAAAGGAAAAAACGTTTTGCCAATCATAAGCAATCCTTTAAAAATAAAAAGTATTCAAAAGACACCATGCTATCAAAATATATTTAGGAAATAAAAGATTGATGATTTTATAATGAATTGGCTCATCCTTAAAATAGCACCTGCATATAACAATATTTCCAAAAAATGCATACTATGCCTACAAGAAAAATTTGAAACTATTACACATGCAAACCAAGAATGTTTATTAAAAAAAAATTGGAATTAATTTCTAAATGCAGGCACGAAAATAAGTTTCTCCTAAAAAACTATAAAAATAAGTGAGCTCAAATAATAATTACATTAAATCCCCCCCCCTTTTTAAAAAATATTCTTTAAAAAAGCATTTGCGACCTCCTGTAATTTAATTTTTTGGTATAAATTGAAGTTTTATTAATTTGATCACTCATTTCTGATGAGTCTTCATTGATGAAACACAGTATTAAATAAAAAATATTTTTTCTAAGTCATTTTCTACTACTACTATATATATATATATATATATATATATATATATATATATATATATATATATATATATATATATATATATATATATATATATATATATATATATACATATATATATATATATATATATATATATATATATATATATATATATATATATATATATATATATATATATATATATATATATATATACAGAGGGTTACAAAAGTGTTCGTACAGTGAAATATTTTATACTTATCATCATATTTAAAACACTTAAATGTATTTATTAGTAAAAATTCTTGTTGAAATCGCTTTAACTATCTTTATTTAGTATATAACATAAAAAATAATACTTAAGTTAGAAAAAATTATGTCAAAAAATTATTAAAGATGAAAAATCAGTTTTTTGATATGTTACAAAAGTCTTCGTACAACCCCTTTATCTGTTGTTTATGTTTACATTAGCTTTAAATTTTCTATGTTTTTGTTTTTAGCGTAAATAAAATTGTCAAATAGGATATTTTGTGCAAGAAAATATTGGTAATTTTGAAAATGAAGCCTACTAGAAACGAGTTGCCAGAAGTAATGAAAAATCTTATTATTTCTCACCATCAAAATGGGAAATCACTGTCACAGATAAGAGAAATGCTTTGTATTCCAAAATCTATGGTTCAGTCTATTATAAAAAAGTTTTCTACTGAGGGTTCTGTTCAAAATAAACCAAAAACTGGCCGCCTAAAAATCCTTTCGGAACGAACTGAGAATTGGTTGGTACGAAAAATCAAAATGCAGCCTAAGCTGTAACAATCTGTAAGTGTGCAAACAGTAAGACGATGCTTAAAAAAACAAAATTTTCATAGAAGAGTAGCGAGAAAAAAACCCTTCGTTACATACTTTTTAGCAAATTCTAAACGAAAAGCACGTTTAGAATTTGCTAAAAAGTATGTTTCGATGCCTAAAAAGTTCTGGGAGACTGTAATTTTTGCTGATAAGAGCAAATTTAATTTGTTTGGATCAGATGGACGTGTCAATGTTTGGAGAAGACCTAATACAGAATTAGAAGAGCAAAATATGGTAGCAACAGTCAAACATAGTGGGGGCGGTGTGATGGTTTGGGGCTGTATGGCAGCGCCTGGGGTTGGTAAATTACATTTTATAGAGACTACCATGAACGCTCGTGTTTATATTGATGTCCTAAAACAAAACTTAAACGAAAGTGCTAAAAAATTGGGGCTGACTGGTGTATATAAGTACTACCAGGACAATGATCCAAAGCATTCTGCTTTTGATACACGGCTCTGGATGCTCTACAACTGTCCTGGAGTAATAAAAACACCAGCTCAAAGTCCAGATGTCAACCCAATTGAACATTTATGGTCAGAATTGGAAATCAAACTGCGTAAAATTCAGTTCACTAACAAACCACAGATGAAAGTTGCTTTAGAGAGTGCTTGGAATTGTTTAAGTCAAGAAATCACAAAAAACTTGAAATTTGATTTTCTGATACCTTTCTTGACACTTTTTTGGTTTTTCTGAAGATTTTTATATTGTACGAAGACTTTAGTAACATTTTAAACAAGACCTTTTTCTTGTATCTAGGTTTTTTAAAGGGATTTTCTGAAAATATATTATTTTTCTTTTCATGTTGCATTAATTTTGATCTATAAAATAAATTTTGTACATAATTTCACCAAAATAACTTGAAAAAATGTATGAAAAATAACTACATTTATTGAAGGATTCACTGTACGAACACTTTTGTAACCCTCTGTGTATATATATATATATATATATATATATATATATATATATATATATATATATATATATATATATATATATATATATATATATATATATATATATATATATATATATATATATATATATATACACATATATATACACACAAATATAATAAGTAAAAAATAATTAATTATTTTCATTAAAAAAATAAAATTATCTCAGCAATTCCTTTCTAAAAACATTAATTACTAATTTAGTTAATTGGCAAATTTCTTCTGGAACTTTTGATAGATTTGATTTGTCAAGTCTTAACCATCGAAGATTTGTCATCGATATTAGGCGAGAGGGAAATGAATTCTAAAATATAAAAGAAAACTATTAAAAAGCAATAAAAATAACAATAAAAAAACAGTTTAGGCATCCTAAAAACTGTAAGAAAAAACATTAAACACTAAAAAACACTTTTACAAAAATCAGTATTAAGAGCAGTATATTACATATTTATTTAATTAAATTAAGATTGCAATTTACAAAACAATACTTCTGAATTTTAGAAAACAATTTCTTAAAAAAAAAAATCATTATTCATATTTATTCCTTATTTTATAGCAAGATTTTAAAGCTAATTTTAAAGTCTAATAAATTTGGGTTAACATGTTATTAACTCATTAATTATCTGGTAAGTTTATAGTTATAAAATTTATTTATCATTAAAAACATTTATTACTAAACTTTTTTGTTCCTTTGCTGCAAAAAATATATAAGAATTATTGAATTAGAAAGTTTCTTTTTTTCACTAACTCAGTAAAAAAAAAAAAAAAAAATACAACCAATATCTAACTATAGTATTCAAAATAACTTAAAATAACTATAAATATACTATTTCATTTTTAGTGCATAATCTATTTCTGTTTATTATAAAATAAACAAAAATGGGTTATGCACTAAAAAATGCATTTGAAACAAAAATTAATTTTTCTTTTCATAGTACTTTAAAAAAAGAAAATATTAATTTTTAAGCGCTTTTTTTGAGCATTGGGAGCCAATACAGCTTTAATGATACCAAAACAGGCCTAGCAATTCATAGCAACATATCATTAAAAAATTTATAATGTATGAACTTTCATTATAAATTATAAAAAATCTGTTTTTTAGCTTATCACTACATTATGAAAAGATTATACAATTATGTGGCAAGTTGACATTAAACATAGATCATCCAAGTCATATTTTAAAAATCCGGAAAATCATTAGGGTAAAATATCCAGAATATATTTTCCCTTATATTCCTCTCAATTTTGCTTTTAGCTGAGTTGTTTTTAATTTTTTTTTAACTTTTCTTAATTTTTGTATGAGTAATGAGTGAAAAAGCTAAAAAAACAAATATATTGCAAAAATATATTCCTAAACTTGTATATATGGAAAATATTTTTGATAACCGGAAAAACTGAAAGTTGAGAAAAATATCCAGAATTTCGGAAATATCCAGAAAAAGATAATCCCTGTTAAACTCTTTAGCATTGAATTCAAATACAATTTTAAGTAAAGTAACTGTACCCAAAGCTTTGTAACTTACTTAAAATGCAGAGAAGAGTTTTATATTTAAAAGTTTTTAGGGATGTGGAGTCCCAAAAAGACTCCAGTTTTATATCTCTATTTTTTTCTGGTCTCTGGTGTCCAGAAGCTCTAAATGTATCGGTTGACGTAAAATCTGCTATAAAACAAAGATTCATGAGATTTAATGACTTGAAACTTATTGTTCTTAAGCACAGAGTCCTTCCTATTATTATACCTAAGGATTCCAGGTCTAAAAATTAGCCGTCTTGTATACCAAACACTGGAAAGAAGTAATCTTTTTGTGACTTCTCATTTGTGAGCCTTTTTTGGGACTCCGCATCCCTTTATTTCAAAACCATCTAAATTAACATATTTTCAAATATAAATATTTTTTAATATCAGAAAAAAAAGGTTTTTGAATACAAAAACCTTTGAACTATGCTGCCATATAATAAGAAACAGAAACTATTGGCTTCCAAGATTGTCTTTATAATTAAGAATTTTTGCAGTAAACTTTTATTAAATTGAAAGTATAAAGAATTATTTGTACCGTAAACAAATCTATTAAAAATTGCTTGTATTGACTATTTTAGCTAATTGCTAAAATAGTCAATACAAGCAGCCCATATTTTTATATTTTAATGTATTCATTTAAAAAAATTATACGTTGAACAAAACAACTTTTTATAAAACTTGATGAGATGGACAACCAACTGACAATTAAGTAAAAATAAATTTACTTATTTTTGCGAACAATTTCAGTTCTTGTATGTAATATAGTATAATAACGATAGTCATTTAAGAAAAATCCTATCTGTACTATTGACAATAGTATTGTAAATGTTTAATAGTTTTAATATTACTACTTCTTTTTAAATTGGTAACTTCATAAACATTTTGAAAGTTTTTTGATCCATAAGATTCTAAAGCGGAAGTCACATCTTATTTCTTATAAAAATTTAAAACTTACACCTAGAATAACTTATAAAAATTTAAAAACGTATGTAAAAGTTAAATCAGCTAGCTTACATTAAAGTCATTTTTAGATAAATCAATTCCTCGAACAAAAGGAAGAACACCTAAAACTTCAGCAGACATTTAGAGTTTGTTTTATTTCTCTAGTAACTGAAATATTTATCTATTTATATTAAAAGAATTTGCTTCATTTGTTAAAACTAAAGGTTAAAATAATCTCAAATCCACATAATTAGATGCATAAGAAATTTTCCGTAAAGTTCTTTAAAACTGTTATTGTCTCGATAACCTTTTGCAATATAGCGAGTTCTTAATGTTTGTTTTTCAAATATTGAACACCAATAAACATATGGAATGATATTTTTATAAAAATATAAAAGAAACAAAAAAACTATAAAATAGCGCACTACATAATAAAACGTAAACAAACATGTGACGCAAAAAATTTATATAAATTTAAAAAGTTTTATATGTTTTTGACAAAACCAAGTTAAGAAAAAGATACCATTCCCACTCAGGCCCGCCCAGAAATTTTGTGATGCCCGGGTCCAAAATTTTAATGGATGCCCTATCATACTTTAGGTCTTAAAATGATAAATAGCAAGTAAACTAGTAAAGTTACTTTTTATTTGCTTTCAATAAAAACCTAAAATCACATTAATTAATTTTAGTTTATAAAAACAAACTATGGTAAAATCAAGTCCTTATAGACGAACACACCTTTCGTGTCTTCTTATCGGCAAAATTTGAACTAACTTCTTCATAAGAAACCTTATTGGCTGAATCTAATTCAATTGTAAAGTTCATAAAGTTGCACAATCACTCCTGGTCCATTGTGGAACGAAGATAGTTTTTGATATTAGCTTACTTGCTATATGATTTTTCACCTTCAGATGTGAAACGGGCAATGCTACAAAGATTTTATGTGAAACACTCTTATTTGTAGAAACATTGAATGCAGCCCCTTTGCATAAACTTCATTTAGAAGTTCGGCAGGCTTTTCGCTGGCTAGAATATTTCTTTTTATGTAAAAAATTTCATCAAATAATTCGTTTTTATATAAGTCTTCTGGGTAAGGATGAGCCAGATTCTCAGCTTTTAAACGTAGTTCTTTGTCTTTTTGAGATTTCTGTGAAGAACAAAAAAAAGAAAACTTGTTACATTCCTTTTCTATTACTTTAAGTCTTGATCTCTTTTGACTTCCTCAGTTTGTCGAGAGCAACATTGAAGACATTACACTCAAAGTTTTTCGATGCTTCTTCGTGGTTGTAATCAGCAGTTTCATCAGGGAAGACCATATTTTCTCGCGTTCTCTTCACAGCAAACATAATTTCATTAAATTTCAAGTTCTTTGCAACTTCTGTTGCCACTATCAAAATCAGATCCCAAGACAAACGGATTTAATCCAGATCCGTCAAAAGGCCATTTAGAATCTTTACTTCATCATCAAAAGTGAGTTAAGTGCATTGAAGCAGAAGGCTCATGGTGTTAAATTAAGCAGAAGGCTCATGCCCTCTTAAACCAAAAAGTTGTGAATCAAATAACTCAAAAGAATTCATCCATTCAATAAGATAATGCACTTCATTACTTCTTTCGCCTGAAAGGTCTAACTCTTTTAGACAATGTGATGATTTCAAGATCTCTCTTGGCTTTTTTGCTAGTGGCTTGAATGTTTCAATCCTTGAGCTCCATCGGGTAACATAAAGTTTATTTAATGATTGACCTGTCTCCTCTTAAAGAATTTTCCAACAAACAGACTGCAGCTGAACAGATTGTATAGCTTTTGAATATTTTCAGAGTAGGATTTTGCAGGAGATGATGGTTTAATAACGTATACTGCACATAAGTTCAAACTGTGAGGAGAGCATGGAATAAAAATTGATTGTGGATTATTCTGCCTAATCGAAGCTTGAACTCTATTGTAAATATTTGCCATAATAGCGCCATTGTCGTAGCCTTGACCACGAGAATTTTTTATGTCAAGCTCAATCACTTCCAACACATTCAATATCAACTTTGTTATTTTAAATCAAAATTATTTTCCATCGCTATGTTAATTAATGCTCCAATATTTTTCAAGTGAATTGTAGTGAATAGTTTCGATGAAAATTGCTTAGTTAATGACTTTTAATGCGATCTGAAAGTTTTCTCCAATTTTCACGTATACCTCCATTTCAAGACAACAAACTAGATTGAACGCCGGATCTAGTTAAAATAAGCAATCCAAAAAGAGAGCCAGGCAGACAAAAGAGTGATGCTACAACTTTAATCCAAACGAGCCAATTTCTTTTAAGTTTTTCTTCGTTTCTTTTTTCTTCTTTAAAAATGTAAGTAGAAAATTTGTGTTCTTTTGATCTTTTTGGAAAATTGCTAGGATTTGAAGAAGGCCCCATCAAAATTATATTCCTTCGATCAGTGTCTGATATTGGTTTACATAGTGCAGGATCGTTAGAGGTTGGTCTAGTTTTTATACAATGGTCACTTTTATATATTTGTTGGTCATTGTGACAATCAACTACAAAATCCAACTAGTTTTTTTTAAAGGTGATGACGATTTTTGGGAGTCATCGATGTCATCGGCAAGAAAAGGCTTGTAGGAATTATGATCTGGCAACTCATTAGAGTAATTGATACGGATCTCTATATCATACAACTATAAAGAAATATTGTTAAACATAATTATTTTAATTTTTCTTTCATGCATGTAAAAAGATTTTAAAAAATTTAACAACCTGCCTGCATTTATCTTCGTTTTTTGTTCAACGAACGCAATCTAAAAGCTTTCGTTTGTTTTTGCATTCATATTTTTTTTCCAAAGCATCGCTCTTTTTTTCCCAGCAGCTCCAGACAATTTGTTCAATCGTGGATATCTTTAATTATTCATGTTATAACTTATAATAATGCAAAGAATGTAAAATTTAAAAAATTTTAAAAATTGAAAAACTTTATAATTTCATTGGTGTTATAAATTCCAAACCAAAAGTCAGTACTTAGTAAGTAAATATCCACTGAAGATAAATTTCTTGTCAAAATACATTTAGAATACATTTTATTTCGATGTTTACTTCGTTGTCAAAATATAGTCGGAAAAAAATGCAAGCGATTCAAAAACATACATACGCACAAAAGTGTTCACAGGGATAGTAGCACAAAAGTGTTCACAGGGATAGTAGCACAAAAGTATTCACAGCGATAGTAGCACAAAAGCGTTCACAGGGATAGTAACACAAAAGTGTTCACAGGGATAGTAGCACAAAAGTGTTCACAGGGATAATAGCACAAAAGTGTTCACAGGGATAGTAGCACAAAAGTATTCACAGGGATAGTAGCACAAAAGTGTTCACAGGGATAGTAGCAAAAAAGTATTCACAGGGATAGTTGCACAAAAGTTTTCACAGGGATAGTAGCACAAAAGTGTTCACAGGGATAGTAGCACAAAGGTATTCACAGGGATAGTAGCACAAAAGTGTTCACAGGGATAGTAGCACAAATTTATTCACAGGGATAGTAGCACAAAAGTGTTCACAGGGATAGTAGCACAAAAGTATTCACAGGGATAGTAGCACAAAGGTATTCATAGGGATAGTAGCACAAAAGTGTTCACAGGGATAGTAGCACAAAAGTGTTCACAGGGATAGTAGCACAAATTTATTCACAGGGATAGTAGCACAAAAGTATTCACAGGGATGTAAAGTTTAAGCAAAATCAAGTTTTAAAACTAGAAGTTCGACTTTTACAAACCGTTAAATAAGAAAAAAGAAATTTTCAAAGCATTTTACTTGATTAATCAAACATTTGGCCAATAAAAACGCGTGCGTTTAAATGGAAAATGAAAACTCAGTAAAGTAATAGTTATCCTATTTTAAATGTAGTTTGCAAAGTTTAAAAAAAGATCAAAGTTCATAGAAAAAAATTGCGAAAGCTTTAAATATGCTATCACCCTAAATTTTTATCATTACAATAGTTTTTTTTTGGGCAACAACAAGATGCCCCATAGAATATAGGGCATCCCATTTGCAAAGAACTTCAATTTACCCTCCTTCTTGGTGGCCCTGGTCCAAGGATTATAAATTATCTTGATTTTTTTCTTTGTTTTTTTTTTTGTTTATCTTATTTTATTTTTTTTACATTATAATTGTTTTTTTTTATTGCAACTGCAGCTGCATTCTTTTTCTTTTTGCAACTGCAGATAATGCAAGCATTTTAGAAATTATGCCATTATAATATAATATTTATATATCGCGATTTATAAAAATGGACCTTGGTGATAAGACAGAATTATGTCTTCTTCTTGCTCAAGCCATTATATGTTTTATTGTATATATATGAAAATTGTATTTATTGTAAAAGGCGAAATAAACATTAAAAAAAAAAAAATTTAATAGCTATGAAGTTAAGTGGGATTGGTATCTTCTTGAAAACTTAGTTTTAACTTGTTAGCGCTAGCTATATAGTTAGCGTTAATATATTATTCATGGCCTTAGATGAGTGGTGGCTTGGGGGGCTAGAACAATCAAAGAAACTTTTCATAATTGTAATAATATTACGCCTAAGTGTTTTCTATGATTTGCTTCCGTGAAATGTCCTAAAAATTAGAAAAGTGCTAAAAGATAGATTAGAAGGGAAAGAAAAAAATCGCACTTCTTTCTATGCAAGAACTGTTGTCTTATCAACTTTTCTTAGCACTGTTTCTACTCTTAAAAATACATCTCTTGCTAGCCACGCAACTGCCGCTACTACTGCATTTATTAGATACTACTTTAAATTCAAGTTTACTTTTACTAGTGTATTTCTTGCTGATCTTGTCACTGATGAAAATAATTCTTCTTCTGTTGGCTCTGCATCTACCCAATGGGCACAGGACGTCCTTGGACGTCCATAGTACCGTTTAGGTCCATTCGTCTAATTCCAAAATGGTATGTCTTTGGACGTCCAATGGACGTCGATTTTAGATTTGGCCGTTTTTGGGCGTCCAAAAACGTCCAATTCCAAAATAGCACGTTCTCGGAAGTCAATTAGACTTACTTTTACGCATGCGTGAATATAAAAAATTTTCAAAATGGATAAAAAAACATAGTTTGAAAGATGTCAATTATTCAAGTTGTTCGATAACTATAAATATTTAGATATAGTTATCGGTACATTAACTTATGGTTTAACTATATAGCTCTATAATAATATCTTTTTATTGAGATTATTAAATTTAATTAGGAAATATGGACCATAAACGCAGAGCCGCCGAGAGCTGTGACGCCGCCTGAGACAGCAATCCTAAATGGTGCCCTTATTTA